CACGAAAGAGAAGCCGCGGCTGCTGAACATGCTGCAGCTGCCGTCCGTTCTGCAGTTTCGGGCGCCTGCGTACAGGGACTCGAGTGACCTGCTCCGGCTCCTGGACCTGGCGCGCAACAGTCATGCCTCAGATCCCAGGGACAAGCTTTTCGCCGTGTATGGGCTTATATCTTGCGCGCAGAGCGATGGAATTGTAGCGGACTACACGATGTCGACGAGGGAGGCGTATATGCAGATGGCCAGGTGGATTGCGCAGAGGTTTGGAATCCCGGCGTTACTGCTCAGGTCGTTTCACGTCGGCGAGGTCGGCGAGGAAGCGGATGAGGGTGATGAAATGGTCCAACAGGAGAAACCTGAGAAATTCAGGATACCGTCATGGACGCCGAATTGGACGCATAAGCCCTCTTCGCGAGTTATGCCATTGCTTACGGAGATGTATGACGAGACTGCAGCAGGATTTGGTCCAGTCGGCCTCCCAATCAGTCTGAAGGTGGCTGAAGACTCCCTCGGGTTTCCAGCTTTCAAGCTGGGAAAACTGTGTGATGTCCTGAGCGAGTACGATGCCCAAGCAAGAAGGGCAAGTCCTCCGGGATCAGTCGTTGCAGCAAAGCCATGGCCTTATACGGTCTTCGAAATGTCACATCTGGGCAGGAATAAGTCGTGCGATCAGGTGGCATTTGTTTTCTGGACGCAAGACCCAACGAACCCTCAGCGACCTCAGTTTCCCGAAGTCGAACAATTGTTTAGGAAGCTTCCAGGCCATGATATCACGGCTTACGATGCGGGGCGCAGAGCAGAGTACCAGGACCTTTACGTATATCTAGCTCCCAAGGCGGATAAGTACGATGGATTTTCCTTCGAGGAGCCGGGTACCGTTGCAGTTTGTGTTGACAATCTTTCATGCGTGTGGATTCACGATGGCCTCGACAAACGGGTGACTGAGGGCCGGTTTAGCAAGTACGCGATCTGCGCCAGAGATCTGGGTCGCGGGGATATCCGCATCGCCGGATTGTTGCACATGGATGGGCTCGTGCATGAAGGCGTTTGGAAGAGTGGCCAGTTTGAAAATGTGAGCCTCGTCGGCGAGGATCTTGGAGCTTACCCAGCGCGAGGTAACAAGCCCAGGCGCAGCGCGTACTACTGGGAACGTGAGCAGGAGCGCGCACAGTCAGCCCGAACCGGACAACTTGACGGTGCGGACGCGGCAACTGCCACAAATGGCCCCTAGTCAGGTAAAGGGATTCGTGGAAAGTTTCAAGCAGACGGAAGGATCTGATGCCCTAGAAGTGAGGTTTAAGAACATCATCGCCATTCTCGTTGGAATGAAACAATAAGACCCGACGGAAGTTATCGGAAGGCTGAGAGCCGCCAATTCGCAAAAGGGAGTAGCAATTATCGCCATAAGTCGAATCGGGAAAGGAGCTTGGGCCAGTCGCAGAGAGCTCTGGACTGTCACAGTGTCGCCAACCGAAATGACAGATTGAAAATTTTTTCCTCCTTTGTTGAACTGTTGAACGCCTTGACAGCCTCGCTCGGACGGTTATGTGGTTCGGGGGTTGCAATGGCAAACGAGGTTGATGCAGTGATGCCTGGGGGTTCGTTCGACTCGGTATTGGAGCAACTACAAAAGGGGCTCCAAGGGGAGAAACGAATAGTCGCAGGGAAATCGTATGCGCGTTGGGCTTCGTGTCTGCGTACGTTCCGAATGGCTGGTAGAGAAGCCTGGGTTTTGCGTAAGGAATGGAACGTCGTAGCCAGCCTAGCGAATTACTAGAAGCCTTCCAAATGCAACTCATTCCCGGCCGAAAAATCGCACAGCCATGGACGTTCTTTCGGGCGGATGTATTTCTTCGGGGTCGCCTGTACGTAGACAGTCGCCTGCAGTCTCCTCCTTGTCGCGCTCGGTGGTTATTTCCGCAGTTGCTTCCAGTGTTGGTGCTTCAATCCAATCCCGGAAGGGGCCCCCGGGACGTGCAGCTGTGGCGCGTGTGTGTGCGACAGTGCAACCTCTTGGGCATGTGGCGTCTCAAGTCGATCCCGTTCCTGCCCGTTCATCGATTCTCGGCGTGCTGGGCGGCATCGGGTGTTTCGGTTGATGATGCAGCCACCGCGGAATAAGCATGGAAGCATGAGCCTAAGGCGACGACATGCCGCCGGACGGCACCTGCTTCTTACCTAAGGCACTTTAGGCCGGCAAGAGACATGGAAAGGGAAGGGAAGGAAATAGCCATGACAAGAGCCACCCGCAAGACAGGAAGGAGAGAAGGAAGAAAGAGCCTAGACTACTAGGACAATGAAAAGGAAGGAATGACAACAGCAAGAGTAACCCTAGCAGCTGCCCTCGGAAGGGAAGATACCCAAGGTAAGGTACCTAAGGTAGGGTAAGAACCTACTCCGTGTACGTATCCGTACTTGCCTGAGGTGAAGAACCTCTGGACTCTCATGACGCTGGAGGAAGGGAAGGACTTTTTGGGCTTTTTTGGCTTCATGGTCATCTGTCCCGTTATCGCACATGACACCATCAGCTTCCATCATCCATCATCCCGAATACCACCATCATTGAGCAATCAATTGACGCCACACGGCCCAATGGCTCAACAATCTCCCGCGTCTTATCAGTCGGCATCATCAAAGATGGTCGGTAAAGCAAACACCATTGCTTTTTGTTCGAGAGTTCCAATTTCAGATACGATCGGAATGTCAGACTCGGACACATGATTCAGAAGCACAAGCTCTAGCTCAACCAATGGCTTCCAGGCCACGCCATTGGCATTGACGCAGGAGACACTCACACCCTGACAGAGACAGAGACAACAATGATGCGTCATTTTTGAGGCTCTGTAGCCTCAGGCATGCACCACAAGACAATGGCAGCGAAGCGGAATGGCGAGCGCCAACGGTGCGTTTCGGCGTTTCTTCTCCCTCAAAGCTTGCGCTTGCACTAGCAAGAGCAGCTTGGCTGGGAGTCAAAATTTTCTCCCGGCGTCGGCCTCACCCCCAGTGGTTGGACGGAGGGCGGTACCTCACAGGCTCATCCTGGACGCCTCACGGGTGAAGCCCAACCGTAAAAAGGTACATGGCCTCCGAGACATGGCAGACCCACGCATCATTTCGAGCGACCTGCGTATCGCGTACCGACAGCTGGGATTGACAAACGCTAGATTTACGTTTGACGCTGAATCAATCTCGCAGATACTCCTTTTGTGGATCCCGACATTACGGTTACGGCGCTGCGGTCGCACCCATCTCGGCCATCTCAGACACTGGAACCTCGGACGTCGGCTCAATGGAGCGAACCAGCCTGCCATTGGCAGATGAATCGCCACGTCCGTCGGCCATCGGTAGGGCCAAGCTGTCCAGCAACGAGAAAACTGCAGCGTCCCTCGGAGCGCTGCCAGTGCAAGTGCACGCCAGCCAGGTTTCTGGGTGCTGCCGGGATCTCACGTAACACTCGTCTACTTGCAGTCGGGGGTGTAGGGAAGGGGCGTGTGTGCAGTCAGACGGCAAGCGTCCCTGACAGGAAACTGGGCTGGCCAAGGCATGTGTGCGTGCTTCGATTGACTTCATCCCATCTTCGCTGATGGTTTGGCGGCGGCATCGACTCGAACGAAAAAAACGAAAAAGTTTGATAAGATGGGAAGAACAGTGAAAGGAAAGGGAACGAGGAATGGTTGAGAAGTGAAGGGAGGGAGCACGACATGAAATGCAAATCGACGCAAGCAACAAAACGGAGGTAGGCCTTGGGCCAATTCTCTATCTCCCCTTCAAACCACGATCCGTCTCACCGCGTCCCTTTTTATCTCTGGGACCAACGTTCCAACTCGGTCATTGTGTCCACTTCTTTCTTGGTGTTGACGCTTTTTTTTCTTGAGCTATTTTGTCGGGTCCACCCACGTGTGAGTGCAAGGCTGCGGCTGATTGGACCCAGGCGCCTCAGAGTGGGGGCCTTCGACGGTATCGGGTGGGGGTCACCGCAAGCCATGACCGGGCTGATATCAAAGCTGACATTTGGCGGCTTTTTCTCTCTCTCTTTTTTTGCGCTGTGTGCCTGAGGGAATGTTTTTTTTTTGAGAAAATTTTCTCTCGCCATGGGACTCCCATCCAGGCTCAACCCGTGTGTTTCCGGCACCAACAGCCTCTTATCTAGAATGCTTCAGTGAGCTTGAGGTGGTCTCTCTCCGTTAAGCCAAGATACTTTGGAGCATGGACATTGCGTGCTCATGGCGTCTCAAAGAACGAGTTGACACACGCTGGACCTACATGTTGATTATCGATTAGCCGGCCGTAACGAACTCAACCTTGCGGATTCTCCTTAGCCTTGATACCGCAACCCACTTCTCATGATTCGTGTTCCTGGCCAAGGGGGCATATCCAGCAAGTACACACTCCGTACGCCTCAGGCATGGTCAAAGGGCCCCAAGATCAACCATCTCTCAGACTCTCCCTCTCTCCGTTCAGGGATCCCCTTCGCCGTCCAGCCTCCCGACAATGCCCGAGATCGGTGCGAGGGCGTGTGTGTTGGATCTCTTTGGTGGATGAAGGTCCACGATATGTCAACGACCGCACATGTCTAAACCTGATTGGGACGCCTCGTTCATTGCGAATCCGTCCCCAGCGCCGGGCCCACCGATGTCTAGTGAATACACAAACGGTACGGATACTCACCAGTTTCTGCCGTCTCCTGTTTGATCCGATCCCACACATCCTGAAGAAGCCTCAGGCTCATCATCTCCAGCGTGGAACCTGAGGCCTGGCTGGCGAGCCATCTGGATCAACTTCCGCCGTCCCGTTGCCCGGGCCCCTGCCCTCCTCTCTCTACCGAGCTTGCCCGTCACCTGAGCGAGAGCTTTTCCCTTCCGAACCTGCTTTTGAGCTTTTTCTCTCTCCTCCTTCTTCCTTCCACTTTACCTACCTCCATCCCAATCTGTCCTTGTTTCCTATCTTCTCTTCCTCCCAGTCCATCACCGTCTATCCCACAATCTCCCCTCACATCAGTCACAATGGCCTCCACTCGTGTCCTCGCCTCCAGACTCGCCACTCAGATGGCCACCAAGGCCGCCCGCCCTGCGGTGCGCGTCTCTGCCATGCCCAAGCGCACCATCACTGGTAAGTCTTGAAAAAATTAGTTCCCGTCGAGAGAACGGAGACGAAGGGAGGAAATGGGAAAGGCATCGAACAAGAAAAAAGATGAATAAGACCGACGCCGACATCGAAGCCAATGAGCAATCACATCAATTGGCCTCGCGGCACCGATCCGATATCAACGATGAGTTCGATATCGTCGCCTTCCCACCTCCCCGTCGAGAAAACCAGAAAATAATGAGAGAACCACGATTGTTCTGACATTCGATTTGCGAAATTTTCAGGCTTCTCCAGCCCCCTCCAGGCTGTCAAGCGCCAGCAGGCTACCACCATCAAGTCCTCCAAGGTCTTCACCCAGGTCCAGGCCAAGCGCGCCTACTCTTCTGAGATCGCCCAGGCCATGGTCGAGGTCTCCAAGAACTTGGGTATGGGTTCCGCCGCCATCGGTCTTACCGGTGCTGGTATCGGTATCGGTCTGGTCTTCGCCGCCCTCCTCAACGGTGTTGCCCGCAACCCTGCCCTCCGTGGCCAGCTCTTCTCCTACGCCATTCTTGGTTTCGCTTTCGTCGAGGCCATCGGTCTTTTCGATCTCATGGTTGCCCTCATGGCCAAGTTCGTGCGTCATCACCAATCCATTCTCATCTCATCGAGACTCATCAAAGCTAACAACTACGATAGACGTAAGCGATTTATTTCGCACTGGCGAGCTGGGGAGAGGCAAGGAGACAGTTTTCGGACGGAGCTGTGCTCTCTTGACCGCCATCTCCTCTTGGGACAGGTTCGCCTATGGTCACGCAATGGAGCATCATCCACTCCACACTGCGTGACGAGCTAGAGTTAATAGACGGGATAGACAGCATGGTGGGCATTTTAGACGATTAGAGGTCATAGACCGCACGGCTCTGCTGTGTTGTATAGATGGAAATTGGTCTGTGGCAGGGACGAGGTAACGCACTACTCTTACCAGCGAAAAAGTTTTGCATCTCCCCATCTTTTGCTTCAGCCAGCCTACCCCCGTGGCTCCTGGCCCTGATACAATTTTTTCTGTAAAAATACTACAAACCTCAAACTGATCACCGACTTTGATGACTTTTGTGAGGCAATTGATGAAATTCTGAGAATTGGGCATGAGATCGTGAGACAAGGTCAAAATTCTCCGTACAACCCGGCAACCAGCACAATCTCACCGCCCGGGTTCAGGCACTTCATCTCCACTCTGGGGAAGGGACCAGTTCTACCGAGTGCCAGAGCTTGAAGCTTCCCGAGATCTTTCGAGGTCGAATTGGCCAATGTGAGATGAGAATTGGGCGAGCTTCACTCGAGCTACCTAGGTAGACTTTTTTTTTGCGGGTGTCTTCCCGGGCCTGGCGGCGGGAAGCCAGCATGCCATCCCCACGGGGTTGTTTGCACACGAGCAATCACGCGCCATGCCATGCCCTACGCCTCTCTCTCCTCTCACTTATCAATCTGCTGGCTTGTTCACCACTAGGTTCGATTCAGTGACTTCACTTTCGGGAGTCTCTCTCCTTTAAATGCCGTGTGGATATCCTACCTGCTCATCTGATTCTTGGTCTTGAAGGCGCTGCAGTAGAAGACCACGATGATGATGATGCCACAGGCAAAGAAGAGGTACTACCGCTGGAGGCACACCTCTTGATGTGCCAATTGAAGAGCCAGGCCGGTCGCCGCCATTTCCCCATCACTCTTCCTCTCACTCGAGCAGCTTGAACCATCAACCAAGACTACTATTCCCGTCGTAACTGTCATTGACGCCGTCAACGATAGTCTGGTCCCCCCCTAAAAATCCCTGATCCAAGCCCGGAAGGACAACAAGCTCGGTTTCCGAGTGCTCCGCTCGACCTCGACGTATGTCCTTATCGTCGAAGCCTGGCTCCGAGTCGTGCGTCCGACAGCGCTGTATCCGCAGGCTGCCAGACAAGTAGACTGAGGAACACCGTCACGGAGACGCTCACACACCCCCCCTCGGGTCTCTTACACACCTGTCCTTTCTAGACGACGAACGGCCGTTTGTTTTGGTGGTCTTTGAGTTCTTCCCCCACTCCCATCCCCTTCAAACCGCGACGAAAACTTTCGCCGTCGAAAGCTTGAGCGAGCTTGAGCTTTGAAGAAAAAGCTTCGGGAAAAGCTAGAAAAGTCCAGATGAAATCAGACAAGACACGTGATGGTCATTGACAACGGCGATGAGAATCTTGAGGTTCGCGATCGACTTTCTTCCATCCTCCTCATGTGCTCCTCCAGATCTCGATCGTATGTCCTGGGTGGCAAGGCACCCCAACCTGACCTGTCGGCTCCCGCAGGACCATTGTCGTCTCCCTCTCACTTGAGAGACGAGACAAGCGCGAATATCCATCCGTACGCTGCAATTCTCCATTTCCGTACTGATCACCGTTTCATCGCAGCAGTACAAAGAGGAAAAGAAAAAAGTGTACTTAGTCTCTTGCTGCTCTTATCGTAGGTACCTCTTTCGTGCGCGTGTTCCCACCCGTGGCACCCCCTTCCCTTCCCCCCTCCCCCCCCCCCCCCACCCCCCCCCCCCCCCCCCCCCCCCCCCCCCCCCCCCCCCCCCCCCCCCCCCCCCCCCCCCCCCCCCCCCCCCCGCCCGCCTCCCCACCCCCGTCCCCGCCCGCGTCCCCCCCCCTCGCCTCCCCCCCCTCACCCCCCCCGCCCCGCGCCCCGCGGCCCCCCCCCCCCCCCCCCCCCCCCCGTTTTCTTTGCCCCCTTTTGGGATCAGCTTTGCGGGTCCCAAAGTAAAGGTTTCGACAGTCAGGCGGCGCTGCGGGATTGGACTTTCGACCTGCTAGAGGGGCTCCACAGAACAGTAATGGCATCATGGACTTCTGTCCCATCCAAGACCAATTCCCATTCTTGTCACCGTTTTCGTTCGTATCCACCGTGTTTTGCGAGGGTAGCGGGCAATGTGGTCGCCCGGTCGGTGATGTCGTGATGTTGCGTTAATGTGGGCTTGCAGTCTTTGGCACCACCCGACGTTGATTTTGAGATGGGATGTCGTTGGAGAGATTAAGTAATCCTTCCAACCCTTTTTTTGGTATTTTTTTTTCTATTTATGACGAACCCGGCTGTAGGGTAATGGCAGGTTTCCCCTCACGCGAACCTCGTTCGACTTTTTTGAGACCTGGGCTCATTTTTTTGGGCTGTGTTCTCCAATTCGGAGAACCGAGGGATTGGCGAGTGCAACGGCGTCGCGAAGAGCCGAACTGCTGCAGGAGCAAGCGAGGGTGCAGGAGCAAGCGAGGGTGCAGGAAAAACAGGGCAGACACGGTACCTGATAATCTGACCCACTCTTTGCCTTTTATGGATTGGGAGGGAACGGACGTGGGGGGGAACGGAAACGACGTCTGTCCCTCGGCTGCTGGGATTCTGGGAGATGTTGATGGGATGTGGTTTGTTTTGATGAGATGATTATGGTGATATGTTAAGGGATGGGAAGCAAATGGAAGTAGAAGGTCATCTCCTAAAATTGCAGTAAGATGTTGAAAATCTAGTAAGGGTATTCACGCAACAACCACGATCAAACCTCGAGAGCTTCCTGGAGTAACGCGTGGGAATCTGGCGAAATGTTACACAGGACATGACTAATGCGCCATGAAGGCTGTTGATCCAACAGACCAACAACGGCAACGGCGGTATCTCACCACGTTGTTCCGTTGCCAGTTGCCAGTTGCCCACCAGGAAACGGAAGACTCGAGGTCATCGTATCGAAGGCCCCCGCCCCCCATGGGGAAGCAGGTCCCGCAAGTTCACTCAGCTGATGTGGATGCCCCTGCTAAGGGATTTAGCTTATCGGTCATTGAGCCATTCGTATGAGATGACTCGAGCTCGGGCTGCCAGTGGAGAGATTCGTCGGCCGTCGTATGCGGTGACACTGCTTTGCTATAGCTGACCGACAGAGAGCAAACTCTTTCAGTCTCGATTGTTCATCCGCTTTCTTGAGTCATGGTGAGAGGACGTCAAGTGAAAACCGAATAGAGACTTGTTACAATCTCTGTGCTCTTACCAGTGCCAAAGTCTTGACATACGGCCGTACAATCATCCAGACTCGGCCTTGTCATTTCGACCAAGGGAAAGATGGCCCTGGGCTGTAAGCGATGAGGACGTGGACAGATCTAGGCGTCAGGCCATTCACGTCTATCGCTAAGGAGAAGCAAGGCTTCAATACGCTCCACGCATGTCTGATGGTATGCTTCTCTTTTGAACGTTGTCTTCGCTGTTGCAGACTCGGTTCGTGAAACATGGCATATAGAGGTAGTCAAGGAATTTCCAAAAAATAGAGCCGAGTGTGAGACGACGACTGGAAGGCTATCAATCCCCACATATGAGTTTGGTATGCATTCTGGAACTAGAGTTTCGCAGTCGGTACTCTCAATGGGATACGTATGCCGGGAAAAACTCTAGGGACATGTCTGAGCCATCAATTTCGTCTACTGGAGAGCAAGCTTGATAAGCTGCAAGCTCTATGAGATTTCTCGGTGATATGTAATGCACAACACAGGTCTAGGGTAGAAGCATGACCGCGTGACCGGCTCCAGGTCCATGGCACAAGCCTCGCGATCAGCTTAGCGACCTATGTAATAGACATCGCCGTGATAAGAACCCCCGTAGTAGAAAGGCCGGACTCTTTCACCTAGGGGTTCTCGCCCAGCACTTGGGTTGTGGTCATAGTTAGTTTCAGCCCCCTGGAAGCACGTATTTATCCATCTCTATATATGTGCGCCTGCTGGATGACAAGAAACCTCTGTAACAAAGTGCAGAGAGATGGTTCTGAAGGTAAAGCTGGGATTGAGTTGACGAGACTGTGTCATACAATACAGGGGCTTTGGAGTGCTTTCTTCGTCTACCCATCAAGTCTCTCCTTTTGAAGCGCGGTCGAGGGCTTGGACCAAATTGCATATCTCAAGAGAGAAAAAAAGCCTCTGCTGCCCCCAAGCCTTCATGCCGCTATGCTATAAAAGCCTATTGAGAGAAAGAGCTTCTATGGAAATGAGAAGAATCCGGGCACATCGGATTGGCGGCCTTCTCGACAAGCATGTAAGACACCTCTACTCGGTGACTTATCTTGCATGTATTCCGCCATGATGAGCTGTTGTCTGTTCATTCACTCATCTAGATCCCCAACACTTACCAAACTTCCTCAGATACGATCTATCACTCAATTCTCATCATCAACCTACAAAGACGTATACACTGTTGAATAAGACCGAAGTGCAGAGAGAGACAGGGCAAGTACGCTCTGTCATCTTGCGTATCCAAAATAGGACTAATTCCGTACCCGCGACTCAATGACCGCAATCACAGCTACGGGCTTCAACCTCACTTCGAGATCATCGTACAATTCGTCGACAATGAAATGGATTTACTCGCTCGTGCCAGAAAGAAGACTCAGGAAGACTGCAGCATGCTGGAGTTTGACTTCAAATATCGAGAGACACCACAACGAACGGACGTGACTTCGAAGACGAAGACCAACCCTGCGAGAATGGACGCAAGACCAAGTAACCAGGACAACGCGGCCAACCCTAAACCTCAACTTGGAGCTCAAGACTAGACTAGTCTCTACTGCGAGCTTGTCCTCTACATCTTCAAAATCTATACCCTTGAGCCCTGAGCACGAGAAGAGAAGAGCTCGGAGGGGGTTGAAAGCTCACGGCAGCGACTCCAATACGATCCCATCTAGCCAGACTACGCGGCGGGTTCGAGGATATAATCTCACCGACGCTAAATGAAGGGCATGAAGATCGTGCATATGTCTAATATCTAGCACGTATATGACGGCCGCGCCATGTGACCCGTCGCGCA